AATTTCCCAGATGGCATCTTCCCATAGCCTCCCTCCCCCCACTAGAGCCCTTATACTCTGATATCCCTGCTACTGTCTTCTGTGTTGTCGGCACCCCCAGCCATTCCCCACTACTTGTCCATCTGGTGAATCTAGTCAGCCTATCTAGAGGTCTTTGTTTTAGGAGGGTCAGCTGTTTCTCATCTAGCAGAAATCAGTTGTCAATGTTCCTTTAGATAAGATTGGGGTCTGCTGTTCATTTTCCCAGTTCTGTGCTGGGTTACTATCTGGGAATCCCTTTGGCCACCCTGGCCAACAACTCAAAAGAAGGTATCTCCTATCTGGCATTGTTGCTTGTTATGTAGCCTTTAGCTATACATATGGACTCTTAAAAAATTATATTGACTCTACTAGAATATTCATTGCTCTTGAGACCCACCAATTCTGTTTCCTTTCTAGTCTCAAAAAAAAAAAATCTGTCTTCAGTTGGTCTGCCTTTTTCCTCCTCCTCCTCCTTCTCCTCTTCTTCTTCTTTTGAAACAGGGAGACCTTGTCTGGCCTGGAACTCACTATGTCGACCAGGCTGGCCTCTACATCGGGCTACTGCCTTCTTTTTATGCCCTATCATAAGCATCTTAAGGAATTCAGAGATTGGAAGAACAAAAGCCAGCAAAAAGTGGTCAAACACCAGCTGTTTACAAACCAGAAACATAGACTTCTTTCAGGGTAAAACAGCATGAAGACTTGGCATTCTGCTTAGATCTGGGGAGGAAAAAGGTCAATGAGCATAAACATTAATTAATGCCTTAAATAATAACTTTTCTTACAGTCATATTTGATAGTGATTCAGTGTTGGATACTCATAGGGGCAGAAGAAGGAAGTAGACAGATGTAAGATGGAAAATAATTCTGGTATTCTGAAGACATCAGAGTTTTCAGCTCTTTCTTTAGAAAGGCAGAACTACTCCTTCTTCCCTCAAGTCATACTCTAGAACATTCTTTTCAGAGGGTGGAAGGTAATTTTACTGGCTGATGGAGACCTAAGTTTTGAATATCAAAGAGCACAGGATTAGTTACTGAAAACATAGCTAGAGCCAATGTCAATAAAGAATGGAATGATTCCAGTTATAGAGGCTTTCTATGTTCAGAAGAACTTCTGCAACTCCTGAAATTTCAGCCTTTATTGAACCTCTATGCCAGAATACTTCCTGGCTAGTTGCAGAGTATTGATATTACTTTTGAAAGGGCATGCAGATTTGATGATGTCTCTATTTCTTCCAGTCTGCAGATCATGAGGCAGATCATGGCAGGGAAGGGATGTGATGAATCTTCAGTCATGGAGCTTATTAAGGAAGCAGAGGAGATGAAACAGAACCTGGTAAGATATTGCTGGATTCTACAGAACATAGCCTCATCAACAGGTGCTATCAAATATGGAGGGGAAAACAGGATGCTCATTCTAGTATCTGATGCTCCAACACGTGCATCTCTTTGATATAGGAAATGTAGGGTCCTAAGGGAATCAGGTCCAATGTCAGAAAGATTAAGGACTAGCTAGCAAAATTCTACTTTGTAACTTTAAATTTTTTTCATCTAGGGGTTAATGAATATAAGCATATTAACACTTCTCATTTCTAAAGAATTGGAAATAACTTATCAAATTAAAAGAAAAAAGTTTGAGTCTTAGAAGATCTGTTTTAAGTCAATAATGTAAATGACCTTAAAATTTAGAAATTATTTAAGCCCTCAAGAAAATGTCTTATGAGAACATCTTAAGTATTAAGAATTTATTTCTATTGATATATTTTACAACCACCATAACCAAAGTTATTGCTTGAAATAAGTTTTTTAAACCATCATGATCATCAAACTCACCTTTTATGCTCCTGTATTTTGAGCGAGGTCCATTTACTGTCACCTTTTGTGGTTCACTGTTTCCCTTGACTCCTTTCTGCCATTAAACAGTTATTTTTCCAACCTTATTTTAAAAGTTGGACAAACATATATCTCTGTTTGTTTGGTTCTTCTTCTCACAGGAAAAGAAAAACAAGATGCTTCAGAAGGAAATGGAGATGCTATGGAAGAAGGTAAGCAGCTATGGATCTCTTCAAAGTATTATCCTGTAGATAATAATACAAAGAATATTCCATTCTTCTGGCCCTTCATTCTGTTTTTCATGCCTCTTTTTCCACCCATGCCCCATTTCAGTCTATTCTTTGCACAGTGAGCAAAATTATCTTTTAAAAGCAATCTGGGCTTGTTGGTGCATGCCTTTAATCCCAGCACTTGGGAGGCAGAGGCAGGAGGATCTCTGGGAGATCAAGTCCAGCTTGGTCTGCTGTCCTAGTTTGTCTCTCCATTGCTGTGACAAAACACTCTGACCACAACCAACTTGGGGAGGAAAGGGCTTATTTTATCTTACATCTCCCGGGTCACAGTTCATCAGGGAGCCCAAGGTAGGAACTCAGGGCAGGAACCTGGAGGCAGGAGCTGAAGCACAGGCCATGGAGGAATGCTGCTTATTGGCTTGTTTCCCTGGCCACTGCTCAGCCTGCTTTCTTATGCAGCACAGGCCCACCTGCCCAGGAGTGGCATACCCACAGTGGGCTGGGCCCACCCACATCACTCATCAAGAAGATGCCCCTCAGACATGGCCACAGGCCAGTCCAATAGAGACAATTCCCCGATTGAGGCTCCCTCTACCCAGGTGTGTCGCGTTGACACTTAAGCTATCCAGCACATCTACATAGTAAGTTCCAGACCAGCTGGGGCTACAGTAAGACGCTGTCTCAAAAAGAAAAATAAGAGAAACATAAGTTGAATGAACAAATAAATGAATACCCAGTTTTGACATTCTTGTGATTCTACATCCATCCTTGCATTGTAAGACTATGGAACTAGAAGAGTAGATTGTGTCTTGTGATACAGACATGTATGTGTGAAATCTCTGCTTCTTCTTTTTTTTAATGTGTGTGTGTGTGTATATTTGAGACACTCATGTGCCACAGTGAACATGTGGGGATCAGAGGACAAATTTGCGGAGTTGACTCTCTCCTTTCATCCTTACACAGGTTCCAGAGATCCAACTCAAGTAACCAGGTTTACCTAACAAGCACCTTTACCACTGAGCCATCTCACAGACCCTGCTTTTTTCTTTTTGTCTCACTTTGCCACAGATAAGCAGGGTGCCTCTGAGCCCTGCATTTTGTGCTGAGATCTCCTTGTTTTAGCAGAAACTACAAATTAGTTCTAGGAACTGTGAGTTTTAATCCCCAAATTCTTGAGTCCTTGAAAGGAAATGTGGCCATAAAAAATTCCCAAAAGTTGTCTTCTGACTGCCACATAGTTCTCCTCACACATAAACAATAATCCATACAAGTTTTATTTAAATGAAGCTTCTCCAGAGCTTCCACAAGTTTTCTATAGGGATGTCCATGTAATAGACTTTTCCTACTCAACCTTCATATTAGGAGAAGTGGAGAAGGGCAATATGCCTAGTGCCTAAGAACATAAGCTTCAGAGTCCGAAAGATCTAGTTTTAGCTCCAACTTCATGTTTTCTAGTTTGTGACCATAAACAAATGACTTCTCTCTAAGTCTCAATCTGATCATCTATAAAATGGAAACAAAAACAGTCCTCAAAGAGCTGTGAGGAGTAAATAAGGATTGTAATGTAGTAGAGTAAGTAATGAAGTGAGAAGCTTAGCTCAGTCAGTGGTAGATGGTGTGAGCTCAATTAATAGTTTTTATTATTATGAGGAACATTCAAGAAACCATTTTGAATTCCCTGCAGTAGGTATTATGGTTTCCATTTTGAGCCCTGAGAAGATGCTGACTGACAGGAACCAAAAGCCTTGACTCGAACTGGTTTTCCATTTCTCTCACTAATTACTACTAATTTAACACTGTCAAAATGTCTCTCCATAGACATTTGAGTCAGAAGAGCTCCATGATCAACAGAAAGCACCACCAACAAAACCAAAGGCAGTCATGCAGGATGGAAAAGTAAGTGGGCTAGAACTTCATAGGCATTGATGCCATACAACTGGAAACATCTTTTTAATAACCAGGACTAATTGGGGGCTCTGGGATTTTAGGATAGATTGGATTTCTGGTCTGCTAAGATATTTCATTTCTCCCCCCCTTGGAATCTTCTATTCTGTTAGCCCTTGCCTTTCATCCCAGGCTCCCAAACCCCCCTTATCATTTGGTAAGACCAACAATGAACTGGAGATGTGAGATGTAGAGAAGTGGTAGAGATAAGAAAGGTAGCATAGTCATTCAGAACAGTAGTGACTTTCAGAGCTGATAAATTAATCAGAAATCTGCTTAAGTTATGGTGTGTTCCTGAACCAATGCTAATTTTCTAAGCAAGATGCTATCCTTGGGACATTTGAGTGGTTAGAATGGTATCACAAGTTTCTGGAAATCATGTTACCTAGAATAAAGAGAGAAAATCCATACCAACGAGGACAATTCCACATACATAAAGTACTTGTTAATTTATCCTGAAAATTTGTTTAGAGGTATTATATTTATACCTCATCTTCCCATAACAAATCATTCACAGAAAATGAGCTATTTATCTCTTAGCTTTTAGAGAGTGGATTATATAGGGAGATCAATTAAGAAGGCTGAACTGAAAATCAATCTAATAGTGAATCTACGGTACTGTAATTTTTCTATAAGATTGTTTCAGGATATTGAGAAAATTTTTTAATCTCAATTTACTTTGTCACCCAGAAGATCTTTCTTCTACCAGGAAAAGCAACAGAGGAAAGTGGAATAGATGAAGTATCAGGAACAAGCCAACATCCTTCAGGTACTAAGGTTTTTCTAAAGCTAGACATGGGACACATCCATTCATACAATGCAAAAAGCCTTTAGCTTCATATTGCTAAGACCAATTATCTTCTCATCCTCAGTTTCCTGTTAAAAGAACTGAATCGGGAAGACAGCTGAAATGACTTATCTTGAATAACTTGAAAATAAATGTGAAATAAATTTGAAATAAACATTTCCTTCTATGCTTTTGATTTGTACTATTTGAAATTGGGGGAAAATAACAAATACTATCTTCCTAACTCTAAAAGACTGAACAGGAAGATTTTTAAAAATTTTCTGGGTAAAGGAACCAAAATTTAGAGATTTAACAAAGTCAACATTATGAGTGGTTTTGGAAAATGTGGCTTTTTTTAAGAATGACTTTCATGGCAAAGTAATTGAGTTGAGAATTGAAGCCTTGAAGAACTATCAGAATTCCAATGACCTGAAATTATCACTGTACCTATAGCAGAATTTTGAGCCAAAGCAAACAGTTTTGAATCTTCCGAGGTCTCAAGGTAGGTACAGTATTACAGGTACAAAATATGAAGTTTTGTTCTGAACACTGAAGTTCCCATTACTTGAAAGTGAGCATTACAGTGCCTGGCACACAGTAAGTTAAATGTCTGTGGTTTCATAACAAATTTTCTTGCTATCATCATTAGTAGTATTCAGAAGCTTTTATAGTAAGGTTAGAATTGTCTGTGTAACAAAATAAGTTTTCCTTTGTAAATATTAAGTAATATATCAGGTACTTGTTGTACGTGGATAACATAGTTCCAACTAAAAAAAAAAAGTTTCTTTTCCACCTTTACCTTGTCCTAAGAACTGGAGTTGGTCTCATAAGTCTCATAGCCGAAGGCCTAGGAGATGGTCAACTGACAAGGGCCTTGAGTTTCACTAATTCAGATATAGCTCTGGGAATGTCAGGGATTTCCCTAGAAGACTTTATGGTAGCATCGTAGGAAGTCATATAGTCTTTCGTAAAAAGTAGAATAAACTAAAGGCCGTGAGGGGCAAGAAAAGGAATTTTATATTTTCAGCATCTATGAATCTGAAGTCTTCATTTTTAAAAAAGAACATGTAGTAAGTCACACTCAAAGAATGACAGTGTTCTATCAGTACCAGTATATATGTTTCTAATTTCTGTTTTATTCTACAAAGGGTTTGAATGTCTTATGAAAGTCATACACAATACATAGGATTAAATAAATAGATAAGCAAGTCAAAGGAAAATAAGTTGAATTTAGGTCAATACATGATAATTATAGAAGTGTTATTTGGTTAGTGGAGGTAGGCTATAAATTTGGTTCTGAATTCCCCAGCAAAAGCAAACATGAATTTGCTGTGTTCATGAAGTACAAGAAACCAGTTGTTCAGGATAAATACAGCTTTTCATGGAACTGAGACCAGAGAGTAATTTCTCCTCCAGGTCTTCATAAAGGAGACGGAACCCTATGTATGGAATGATGGTAGTCAATGTCCTCAACAGCATTTCTAAAGTGAATTCAGAGTCTAAATTTTCTAGACTCTTTCTGTCTGTTCCTTGGCACAATATGCTAACAAATCATTTTATGGAAATTTTTAAGTATGATAAGGAGCAACTCAGCATGATTTGATCTGGGTTCATAGCAATCTAAATCCACAGGTAACATTTAGAAAATCTAGAACATTCATGGATGAACTTCATATTCCTAGGCAGAGTTTCATACATTTTTTTCTTTCAATTTCTATTTTGATAAGATTTGGACAAGAAATTGGAAAGAATCTGGAAGCAGTAAGTCATTAAGATACACATTTAAAAGACAAAAAAGAGGTAGTTCGAGGAGGACAGATGGAGCCCTGTTTTTACTTCATTCAAAATTACCCAATTGCCATCTCAAGGGATTCATACAGTAAAGAACCAGGTCTTTAAACTCCAGATTTATATCAATTCCTGATTGGTAACTCCATTCAATTGACTGTCTCACAGATTCTTCCCCCCTCTCACTACAGAACATTGAACCAGTCTGAACTGGGGCAGCCCACAGATCCATTCTTTTCTCTCCCTTCTCTTCTCTTATGCTTCTGGAGAATGAGGTAATGGGTTCCTGTAGTGCTCTATCACCACATATTAACATAGCCAGGGCATGAATGACCACTGGTCCCATGTTCTATTGATTGTGTTTTTGCTAGGCACTGATTGTAGGCCAGCTGCATTTTCTAACAAACATATTCAAAATCTTTGAGTTTGTTTGAGCCCAAATGGATCTGAAATCTAACAATCCTAGATTTGGGATATGTTGACTTATAAGTTGTAATGTTTTGTTATTGATAAAAAACAAAAATGCTAGTTATCATGGAAGAGTTGTCAAGGTACATGAATTAAGAGATTATCAACAGCAGGGAAATAGTTTGGTTGTACTCAGTGTGTCTCAACTTCTTAAAAACTACTGCTTACTATTCTTATTCAACTTTTTGCCACTTAGGTTGACTTAATTATCATAAATATATATCTTGAAAAATAACTTTTTCATTTTTACAGGTTCTCTCTTTGTAGCCCAGGCTGGCCTGGTACTCAGACTGGCCTTAAACTTGCAGTGATACTCCTCAGCCTCTTGAATGCCAATATGCAGGAGTGGTGCCCAGCCATAAGATTTATATTACTTAATGAAAAACCAATATATAGTTCTTCACAAGTAAATTTAATAGTAAGGATACAAAAAAATGAATGTTCTAACAAGATGTTCAAGCCTGAGGCTGTTTTACCATTATCGGAAAATTAGATTAACAAGACAGAGGTTTTTTTTGTTTTTGTTTTTTTTAAGAAAACCAGCACCAACTTTGAACTTTCTCCTTGATGCTATCAAGTTTCAAAGCACTGAAGAGGGAATAATTGAGCCTGGTGTCATAATACTTGCTTGTAATCCCAGGGTTTAGGAGGTGGAGGTCAAAGGACCAGAAGTTCAAGGCCAGCCTGGGCTATGTGAGAGTCTGCCTCAAAAAAATAAATTCATTTATTTCAGTTCTTTTCTTTAATATTTAAAACCACAACATATTACAGAGAACATTTAAGACTCTCACTTGTATAACTCTTACAATGACTCTTTAAGATGTGAATTATGGAACAAGGCATAGAGAAGCTAGGTTTCTGAGTCCATGGTTAAAACTTGGGTCCTAGACTATACAATAAAACAGCAATGTTAAAGTGTGATTATTCGTGCCTCTTTCAGTCCTAAAAATTTTGATGGGAATCCAAACTTACCAACTACTGAAAACATCATCTTCCCAAAGAAGCATCATATTCCTTAAGGCTAATTTGTTCTGTAGTAAAGAAATGTTTACAAATGGGTTGAGAGGTCTGTAATTCTGCATTTAATCCAGTAGGTGGCACCAACCACATCCAAGCCAAGTCCAGAACAAATAGTGGTAATTCAGAAACTATGTGAAATGCTGTAGAAAAGACTGGCTTTCTATTACCCTTAGGACAAAATGTGCCACATTTATATACCAAATGAAAAACAAAGAAAACAACCTATTGATGTTTTGTGTCATGCTCTGTGGCACCAAGATGTATTACTGGCAGCCTTGATTAAACTACGTTAAACTCAGTATTCTGCTCTATAACCCTTTCCTATTATTCTACTCCCTGAATTATAGTTCTCTCCCTTTAAAAAAAATCCACTATCCACTTCCCCCACAGTTCCTGTCTAATGTTTTTTCTTTCTACTACAAGTAAATCAGGCACTTAGGACAATGAAGTAAAAACGGTTTGGGCAATTACACAGGGACTGTTGGAAGTTTAAGTACTAATAGCTCTCTTGGATGGCATGCCCTTTCCTCTAGTTTCAGGAGAATCCAATTTCATGAACTCGTCTTAGAAAGTGGAATGTCATTTTGGACACACCTCCAAGGCAAATCAGGGTACAGCTGCTTCCAGGTAGAGGAAAGTTTTTACTGATTTTGGCCAAGAATCCCTCCTCCTCTGTCCAGCATGCTGGTTTGCTGAGGTGCAGTGGTGTCATCTATTCGGTTGGCAAATATCACTGACTTCGTGGCAGCTTAAACAATCTCTACTTCTGAATTCCCTGAGGCCTAGGTATAGCATTGCCACTGTCAGTCTTGCATGTTGAACATACCACATCACCTAATCTTCTGAAAGAGAACCTTTTTCTGTTGTTCACTCTTGAGGACAAGTCTTTCCTTTGGGTTTTTTCCCCAGACATAGATCACATTTGAAGGGGTTTGCTTCCCCAACCAGTATAAAATTATAATTTGACTCGAGGTTTGTGGCACCCTTTGGTAGTCACCCATCAGCATGCATAGGCACTAGGCCATCTCTAAATTCAGGTGAATTTCCCATCATACCTGCTGGTGCTTAAAGAATTAAGGATTTTCCAGCTGTGGTGGTACATGTCTTTAATCCCAGCACTTGGGAAGCAGAGGCAGGCTGATCTCTGTGAGTTCGAGGTCAGTCTGGTCTACCTAGGGAGTTCCAGGCCAGCTGGGGCTACAGGAAGACCCTGTCTCAAAAATATCAAAAAAAAAATTGTCTTTAGTGATAACTGTGATAAGCCACTGGATTTCATCAGCCTTGCTTTTTCCCTCTCACATCCCCTGAGTCTTAGCATGTCCTTGAGTTCTTTGAGAATAGATGGTTCACCTTTGAGAAAAATTTGAAGGTTGGATATAGACATTGTGCTATACTTGTCAATTATATGAAAGCCCAGTGAGGTGGGAAATACTCTTGAGAATTCATTTATTCAACAGTCCTCTGTTCTGAAAGCAAGCCATTCCTTAAACCTTTAACCTTTACTTCATTTCAATATTTCTCGTCCTAACAGCTAAAAATTTGAAAGGCATGGGCAGAAACCAGCTACTTCAAATCTTGAGCTTTGATTTTAAGAAAAAGAAAAATGTGTGGGGGGGGTGTAGTTCTCAAGTACAAGCTTTTTTATAAGCTTTGGGGCAACGTGAACCTTTTAAACACTAAAATTACATTTACAGTATTAACAGGTAATGAAACTAATTTCTAATTTCTTTTGTTTTCCATAAAACCTCACAAAAGCCGGGCATACTGGTGCACACGTTTAATCTTAGCACTCTGGAGGCAGAGGCAGGAGGATCTCTTCTGACTTTAATGCTAGCCAGGGCTACACAGTAAGACCCTGTCTAAAAAGACAAAACAAAACCTCACAGAAGTTCAGGCAGGAGGAATAAAGTCTTTATTTTTTTTCTAAACATCAGTTTAGAAAAGTTTTAAGAGTAAACTGTGCCCTTATTAAGGCTTCTTATTAATAAGTGAATAATTTTTCATATCAGAGTCTCAAATTTTGCATGAAAAATACTTATATTAAAATTATTGGTGTGTACTGAAATTGAAATGTAACTTAACCTACCTAGGCTCACAATAAGGCCTATGCAACACCCTACAATCCTCCCTTTCTTGCCTCCTCAGTTCAGTCTGTTCCTTTCATTCTCCCTGCCTCTTTCTCTTTCCCAACCCCTGCCTTTATTTTTTGTTTATTCTTTACTACCCACAACTGATTATTTTGTGGAATAGACATCTGGGTGATCTCATAGTATATGTACATGGACATGTTTTACCATCCTATCTTTTGTAGACTCTCTAAGTTTTTAAATGTATGTAATCCTCAAATGATGTTTTTTTTGCACATGGAACATGAGCTTCCAAACAGAAAAAAGGCCTACCACTCTAACTTTAAAATATTATTTATTTTCTAGAACAACAATTACAAATTCATATCAATGGTAATATCAGTCCTATAGCAACATAATCAAACAGCGCCATGGTGAACATTAATAGCTCTCATTTTCCAAATGTTTTCCATCAGGTAAAATAGGCACTACAGTTATGGGGAGATCAACCAACAGAAATGAACCCAATATGGTAAGAATACTTTGCTTTTAAAAAATCTTCAATTTTAAAAGGCTTGGATAGTGGGAATCGATTTTTGCAGTGCATTTGTTTGTTTGTTTTTATGCATTTATTGATTTACTTTCACAGTGCTGAGGATCCAACTCACAGCCTTGTGCTTTGCAGCCAAGAGCTCATCCATGAGTTGTACCCGCAGTCCTACAATGCATTTGTTAACATGCATTCTAATTTATTATTTTTTAGGGAATCTGCAAAATGCTCAGTGTTTTAACTTCTCTCCTCTTTGTTCTTGCTCTTCTTTTTTAAAGAGAACACCAGAATCAAAGACCTACACAGAACAACAAGGAGCTAGAGAAAGTCAGTCTGATGATATAGGAGAGAGGCTCTTTTTTCTGAGGTCACTGTCAGATGAAGCTCTGAAGGATCAGAGGTTTTTGCTCCATTTGCTTTGGGCAGATTTAAAGACTAGGTACAGCCATTTGTGTTAATTAAAATCTCTCAAACCTTTTGTTTTAGTTCTATTTTCCGCTCTGCCACCAATCTGGGGAGAAAAAGGTCGTATGTTTGGCCTTAAGCATGTCAGGAATCTAGCCATTTAGGGATTGTAAATAGCCTCTGATTATGCTGACCGCTTTGGGATTTGAATGACTGGATTCAAATCACATAGCTCATAGTTAAATTCATAGGAAGACATTCTCTACCTCTGAAGTATTTATTTCTGAGCAGATCGTCGTTGGCAAATCAGTACTAGATACAAACTACCACAACTATATTCCTGAGAAAGCCCCTACTGGCACACATCCAATTGCCCTGCTTGTTCTGTTTCCTTGTTATCTATTTCTTGAATATCTTTCACTCTCTCAGTATTACTGCTTTAGTTCAGGCCTCCTTTCCTGCCTGAGTTCTCACAGACTATTAATTGGCTTCCCTGCTTCTAGGCTCTCTAATCCATCTTTCACGGTACCACTAAAACTATTTTTTTTTTCTAAAAGAGAAATGAGATCTTGTCACTCCCCTACTTGTATTATGAAGTCCAGATTCTTTCACAGACCATAGTTGATCTGCCTCCTTGCCTACTTCCTCAGTCTCATCTTTCACTGTCTCCCTCTCCCTCACAATCTTATTCTGAGTTCTATAGAACTATTTACAGTTCCCATGAGTTCTATGCACAAAAGTGAAAGATTCTTTTCTCTTTGTCTGCTTGACCATTGCCCATTTTTCTTTTTTCATTCCCGTGTGTGAGTGAGAGTGTGGGTATATGCGTGCCATGGTGCATGTATGGAGGGAAGAGGTCAACTTCCTATTCTTGCTGTCCACCTTGATTCAGATAGAATTTCTGTTTGTTGCTGCATACATCAGTCTAGCTGGCCCTAGAGCTTCTGAGTGATTCCCTGCCCTCTGCCTCTCATCTCTGTAAGGAGTGTTTGGATTACAGATACATACTACCACATCCAGCTTTACATGGGTTCTGGGAATCCACCTCAGGTCCTCACACTTACAAGGCAAACACTTTATCTACTGAGACATCTCTCCAGTTCCATTTTTTCTTAAGAAATGTTTCTTGTCTGACTTAGCCTGCTTTCTATGGCTGTGACAAAAATATTAACCAAAACCAACTTGGGGAGGAAAAGGTTTGTTTGGCTTACACATTCCCCCTCACAGTTGATCACTGAGGGAAGTCGGGGTGGGAACTCAAGTCAGGGCCCTGGAGGCAGGAGCTGAAGCAGAGGCCGTGTAGGAATATTGCTTACAGCCTTGCTCCTCTGGCCTGTGCTCAGCCTTTCTTAAACAACACAGGACCACCTGCCTGGGAGGTAGCACCCATAGTGGGCCCTCCCACATCACTCAACAATCAAGAAAATGCCTCAGAGGCATGTCCACAGGCCAATCTGATAAGAGGAAATTCCCTGAGGCTCCTTCTTACCAGGCGTGCCAAGTTGACAACTGAAGCTATCCAGTACAGTGCCCTTATTCTAGCCCAGTCAGTCCTTTTTGTGTATTAAGATCTCTTTGCAGACTTTGAAAAATTATACACCACTGAGTCACTCCTCAAGTGATTGAAATCATGATCTTTGAAGGATAAGGCAAAAACATCTGCAATTTTTAAAAAGATCCCCAAGAAGTTCTAATATGCATTCACGTTTGAGAATGATTGTTCACAGCAATTCTTTCTTTCTTAACACTTAATGAACTATACTGAAATTATTGATTTACTCAGTTACCTCTTTCACCAGATGGTGAACTCTTTGAGGCACTGATCTAGGTCTTGTTCATCTTAACCAGCTAACACAGTGCTCAGGATTTAACAGAGGCTCCATAAATGACATTGCACAGGATACAGATAGTTAACTACCCAGTCCCAGATCTCTTACTACCCTGTCTCATTTTAAGACCATGGATTACATTGTAATTTCTGATACCTTCATATCTTTTCTGATATTGTAAGTTGTCATGAATTTCCTATCTCATATCAACACGGGAGAGTTCATTTTTCAGAAAACACTTCATAACCCATGTGAATTTGTTATGATTTAAATATGAAATGGCCCCCCAAAGTTCAGGTGTCAAATGCTTGGTCCATGGCTGCTAGTGCTATTTTGAGGATTGTGGAAACTTTAGGGGATAGGGGCCTTCCTATAAGAAGTAGGTCCTAGTAGGATGTGTATCTTTGAAGGTTGTGCCTAATCCCTGTCCCTTCTTCATTGTTTTCTGTCTGCCATAGACACAAACCTTCTACTACATATGTCTTCTGTCATAATGTTTTTCCCAAATGCTTGGGGCCAATTGACCATGGATTTAACACCCTGAAACAGTGAACCAAAAATCAGTTTTTTTCTACTTTAAGCTGTCCTTTCAGGTATTTTGGTAACTACAAAAAGGTAACTAATACAAAATATCTTATACTTTTCTGATAATGATCAAACTAAACCAATCAACTAATAATGTTTTTCTCCTTAGGTAAATTCAAATCTTTAAACATGTACTTTAAAGATAAAAACATTTAAAAACATTATATATTATTTTCACAAAGTAATGCGTTTCATTATAACATCTTCCTGTATATATAAAATCTACTATTCATCCCTTTAACATAAAAAATTGTCTTTTTGAGTCTGGGTTATTTTGCTTAATAATGATGATCTCTTGTTCCATCCATTTTCCTGCATAATACTCCATTTTATATATATCCACACTTTATTTATCCATTCATCCACTGATGCACACTTAGGCTGATTCTATATTTTGGCTAGTGTAAGTAGTGTTGTAATAAACATGGATGTGTAGTTATCTCTTGTATACTGATTCTGAGTCCTTTGCATATACCCAGGAGTGGTATAGCAGGATGTTATAGCAGTTCAATTGTTAGTTAAATTTTTTTATTATTTTGTGTGTATATGCATAATGGAGAGGGAGAGGGAGAGATGTGCCATGGCACATGTGTGGAGGTCAGAGGACAACTGTGGAGTCATGTTCTCTCCTTCCACCTTTATGTGGGTTCCAGGGATAGCACTCCAGTTGCCAGGCTTGCCTAGCAAGTGCCTTTACTTGCTAAGTCATCTTGCCTGCCTTTATTTTTAGCTTTTTCAGGAAACTCCACATTTTTGAACTAATTTACTTCTCTACCAACAGTGTACAATGATTCCTCATCCCCCTGCATTCTCAGCAGCATTTGCTATTGTTTGTTTTCTTGATGATAGTCATTCTGACTGGGGCAAGACAGAATCTCAGTGCACTGTCATTCTGCATTTCCTTTAATGTTAAGGACTGGGTATTTTTTCATGTACTTATTGGCTATTTGTACTTCTTTTGAGAGCCATCTTTTCAATTCATTAACTTATTACTGAACATATTATTTATGTTTTGAGTTCTTTATATATTCTGGATATTGTTATCAAATACCATTAAAATTCCAGTGAAATTCTTCACAGAACTAGAAAAAAAAAAGATAAAATTCAAGTAGAAGCACAAAAACTCTGAAAAGTCAAAGTAATTCTGAGTGAAAGAGCATGCTGGAAGGATCACAATGCCTGATTTGGGAAGCCACAGTAACAAAACCAATATTGTACCAGCACAGAAGCAGTCACGTAGCCAATAGAACAGATCAGAGGACTCAGAAATAAACCCAGATGACTACAGCCATCTGTTTCATGATGAAGGTACCAAAAGACACCTCTTCCACAAATGGCAGAAGGAAAGCTGGATGTCCACAGGAAGAAGAATGAAACTGGGCCCCTGTCTCTAGAGTCCCTGTATAAAATCTATTAAAAATGGATTGGAGACCTTGATGTAAGTGAAAGGTTGAAACTGCTAGAACTAAGCATATAGAAAACACTTCAAGATATATACAGAGGCAATGGTTTTCTGAATAGGAATTTAATAGCTTGGGACATAATAGCAAAAACTGACAAATGAGATTGAAAAAAATTAAAAGGTTTTGTGTAGCAAAGGAAACAATTACCAGAGTAAAGAGATGACCTACAGATGAAAGGTAGATTTTTTTTTAATTGTGTGTGTGTGAGAGAGAGAGAGAGAGACAGAGAGAGAGACAGAGAGAGAGAGAGACAGAGAGAGACAGAGACAGAGAGACAGAGACAGAGAGACAGAGAGAGAGACAGAAACAGAGAGAACAACTTCAGGGAATTGGTTATGGTTCTCTCCTTCCACCATATGAGTCCAGGGCTCAAACTTGGGTTGTCAGGCTTGGTGGCAAGTGCTGCCTGTACTGGCTAAGTCATCTCATTAACCCTTGGTAGGATTTTTAAAAATTTATTTTAATTTAATGTGTATGAGTGTATTGCCCACATGTATGTAAGTGCACTCATGTCATGCAATGCCCTCAGAGGCCAGAGAGGGTGTCAGATTCCCCTGTTAGCTGCCATGTGGGTGTTGGTATTCAAACCCAGGTTCTCTGCAAGATCAGCCAGTGCTCTTAACCGCCAAGCCATCTCTCCAGCCCCCAGATTCTTTTAAACATTCTTTTAAACTAGAAAAGGTTATAAGTGTTCATAGATTGTTAGCATTTTAAGTATAAAGTTCTTTCACTGCACAAAAGATGAAACTGAAGTACAGATACCTTGAAAGAGTTTCCAAAAACCTACAGTTAATCCAAGCCAGAGCTGGTTACCAGAGTCTAGCTATTATTACTGCCAGTTCCTACTCCAGTGTAACTCATATCTTTCCCTCCTGACTATAAAACCAGCAGTCTCTAAAGCCCTAAGATGATTAGTTTCATGTTTTGCCAACAAATTAGCTGAGTATATAATCCACATTCTGTTTTGAGAAAACCACCTCCAAACTTAGTCCTTGAGAGACTTTGACAGACCCAAGATTTTCCAAATCGATTAAATTAGACATAGTAAGGAGAACAAAAGACAAAAATATAAAATCAGACTACTCCTGACCACTTTGAACTTTTCATTTAACCCAAGGGCCTCCTAATTTTTAACATTATAAAAATACCACCCTTTA